TGCCCCCCCCCCCCCCGGGTCTGTTCTTGTTTCCATTTCTCAGTTATGCGCCATTTTATTTTCACGATCTTTTGAGACTTTGTAAACAGCAACGATGTATGTATGCGCTTTGGTTCTTATGATTCCCCTCCTCACCCCGGTCGGTCCTCATCTAACGTTTCGTTTCCGAAGCGTTTAACTCTGCGTACAAACACACGTGTGTGCGTGTGCGCGCGTGCCCGCGCGTTGATTTACTTTCTTACTGGTCGTGCTTTTTCTGATCAATTTACCTAGTGATTTGATACAATACAATGTGTGTTGATTGGCCACATTTATCAGCACTACCTGGCCTCCGCTACTTGTCAGTTGTTTTCGGAGTACGTGCATAATGACCGACAGTTGCATACTGAGGGAGAATGGAATATTTGATTCAAACAAATGCAATTTCAAAGGGGAAATTCGTCGTGTGTACGGTAAATGAGGCGTGAACTGAAAAGCTAGGAAGCACTGGACAGGTGTTTAGACCTGGTTGGGTCTCATCAGAAGTGCGAATCCATCGACCCGACTGGGGGTAGAACCCGGGACCTAATGGGCAGAACGCAAGCCACTCGGCCACCGGGTAGCTGATCAGACCGTTTTTCATCTTCCATTTACACGACATGGCACAACCCATCTCTGCGAGCCTGTTGTGGGCCACAGATCTCGCTCATCTCAGCACTAGCCTCAGGGGTTATGACTCGGTTGGAATCAATCACAACCTGACTACTTATTTCATGTGAGTAATGGAGGATTTGATTCAATTTCAAAGGGATAATTCGTCGTGTATATGATGAATGAAGCGTGAACCTGCTAGCATACTTTCGTTCTGCCTATTAAGTCCCGGGTTCGATCCACAGTTGGGTCGATGAGTTCGTACCGCTGATAAGACCCAACCAGGTCGAAACAGCTGTCTAGTGCTTCCAAGCTTTTCAGTTCATGCTTCATTCGCCATAAACACAACGAATTTCCCCTTTGAAATTGGATTAAACCCTCAGTTACTCACATGCAACAAGTACGTCAAAAATAATTGATATAGCCCAGCATTCATGGGTAGTCGTCTCGGCTCCCTATCCGAGGCTTGTGGTTCGAGTTTCAGCAGGAGGGGCGAATGTTTTGCTGAGGAGTCACGTTGTTATTGTGGACCGTTATATGCACAAGTAGGGAACGAGTAAAGTAAAATGCACCTGTGGGTCAGGTTCAGTCGGTAAACAGGTTTGAAAATGGTGTGGAATGATTGTAGCTCGGGATGCGGATGTTGGTGTTGTTTGGTTCTCCGAACTGGAAGTGTTCCTCACAGACGTCTCTAGCCAAGCTAGGTAACATTATCAGTGCGACTTCGGGAGGGCGCCAGTCCTCAGTTTTTTTAAAAATTAAACACGAAGTGATTTATAGCAAAAGGGTTAAACCCCATTATCAACGAGGGGGGTATGTGGGGAACATTCATGTGAGAATCAATGTGTTAATCCTGCTTTTGAAAAGAGTAAGGTTATAAGAGCTGGGAAACACGGAAATGGGAAGAGTGCTCCACAATTTCGCAATCCTCGGGGAAAAAAGAAGATTGAAAGAGAGATGTCCGATATCTGGTTTCAGACACCTGAGAAGGTTGACTGCCCGCTTGAGAACGAGAGGTCAATCGAAGGGGAACCACTGAAGCGAGTTGGGAAGAGCAGAAACGATAGCGATAGAAAAGAGATAACAAAGCAACTACCCGGTGATGTGAAAGCAACTGCAGATTGGAAGTTAAAGACGGTTCGTCGATCAGCCGGATGGCCTGGTGTTGAACACGGTTGAGGAGAGAAAGAGCGGAATACGAAGCTCCACCCTATACGTGACTGCATTGTTCGAGCATCCGGCGGAATTGAGCTTTGTACAAAGCAGATGGTGCTTGGGTGTAAAGAAACGCTTTACAAGTGTGGAGATAAAAGGGGACCAAATGAGAGAAGAGTATATATTCGAGGGTTGAACAAAACGTTTCCAGATGCTCAGTACACATACGAAGTGCAGATGACCGGGCAAGGAAAAAGTTAACTGTAATCTATTGTGGATATTTTTCTTCATTGCAGCTCACAGAACCAAATATCGACAGCCGAGCACAAGTCAAAAGGGTCACTATACTCGGACCATATTGATGGAATTCAGTCAATGCCACTGGCGGGTGGTGATTTTCTACAATCACGAGGGTGGTTTGAATCATCAGCAGAGTGTTGATCGTTTGCGAGCTACCTTTCGTGATGACGCGACTTTAAGAAGCACTGTGATTGAATAGTTTGCGGAATTTAACCGGGGCAGGTCGTTCCAGGTTGATGAGGCACTGTGTGGTCGACCGGTGGAGGCCACCACAGCGGACGACATTGTTGTGCAGGAGATGATGGAGGAGGACGCGCAGATTACAGTGGCACAGCTGGCGAAAGCCAGCGGGATCAATTCACACCATCTTATGTTAAAAGCTCGACCTCAGAAACGTTTGCGCACGCTGGGTACCCCATCAGCTCAGTGGGGAACAGAAAGCAGTTCGGATGAATTGGTGCCGCAGGTCCCATGTCGTCTGCGATTTTCTAGCTAGAGAACGTATCCGGGATGTTGGTCACCCACCCTACAGTCCAGACTTGGCTCCGTGTGACATTTTGTGTTCCTAAATTTCAAGCACATGAGGAGTGGAATTCGATGCGAGTCACCAACAGCTACAGTGAAAGTCTTCATTGAACGGATCAAAGGATTATCCACTTGTTGATAAGTTTCACAATATCAGATCCAAATTTGGAACGGATGTTATTGAAGTAATTGTGCGTCATGCTCATTACCCGCTTCGGCATGCTCAAGCTGTTTCACCAAATCGTTCGAGCGCCAGGAGTTGTGCATGAACGCTGGTGGACAATACTTCGAGAAAATGTAAAGCTTATTTTTGTGCACAAAATCAAACTTTTTGTGGATTCGGAAAATTTTTGCTCAGCCTTCGTAGATAAACCCAGAAGTGAAAGAGAATTTGTAGAACTAAGGGGCAGCGAGCCAAAAATCAATTGAGGAGAATAAGGGACACTGTTGGTGTTGGTGAGTTCCCCGAGCTGGAAGTGTAGTTCGCAGACGTTTTGTAGCCAAGCTAGGCAACATCATCAGTGCGACTTCGGAGAAACGCCAGTCCTCAGTGGGATAGGGCTTATATAGTTCTGTTTGAGAGTTTCGATT